AATAAAAAAAAAAAGATCATTCTCCCGCTATATAGACAAAAGCTAAAAAGTAAATTAATATTTATCATGTTTTCCAAATTATTTTCTAAATCTGATAACATCTTTAATAGACATAATATCATGGCTGCTTAATATCTTTTTTTTTCCATTGTTGCTTTAGTGTCTTATTTTTTGCCAAGTCCTCATTCCAGGAGTGCCCAAATATTACCACTTAGCATGGAAGTGTGGCAAATTCCCAGTTCACTATTTGAGAAGTGAAGTAGAAGCTGCAGTAGTCTTACTGCCTTCATCTTGCTTACTTTGTTTCAAGTCCTCTGCCTTTCCTCCTGCTGAATGAAACCTTGGCTTGCATTCCTCTACTTAAAATAACCTCCTGTCTTCTGGTGATTAGTGAAGCAGGTTTTGTTCTCCTTTTTTTTTTTGGAGCTGCAGCCTCCCTGAGCATTTAATCATCAACATCCATTGCTCACAACTTTTCCATGCAGAAGTTTGCTGCCTCTAGCATGGGGGGTATTTTTTGAACATTGCAGCTTTCACTCAGCAGAGTCACACATCCCATCTCAGTCTTCAAAGTCAGTTTTGATACAGCTGTTCATCCCAAATTTGGCTTGTTCAAGTTTATTTTCCTGAAGTACTTCTTCCAAGAACTGGTCATTCCAGACTCTTATCCCAAGGTTTTCCTCTCCAAAATTATTTTTTGCCAAATCCTGGTTCCAGGACAGAGCACAGAAAATTAACAATTCTGATCCTTGTTTACTTGGGAGGAAATGAGATCCTTTCCCCAGATTCCATCTGGCAGAAGAGGTGCTTTAGAACCAAGAAATTTCCTTCATTGTTTGATGGCCCAACCAGCAGGTTATGTGAGAGAAAAAAAATTAAAAATGAACTGTCTTTCTCCTTTCCAGTCAGCCTCACTATCATCCTACACCTCTTTTTGCTTTTGGCAGCTCTCCCAGAATGCTGGGTTGAAAGCAGAAAGAAACCACACTGATTCTGTGGTTTTCAGAAGAGACCAAGGCTCCTTATTACATATTTCATGCAGCTGTGCTTTCTTGGCTATCTCTCTCACTTCCCCCATTAAATCCCAGTCTTTTTACTCCATTAGCACATATGGTTTTCTAAGATGATCAGGTCAATGACTAATTGTACACACTTGTTAAAGGGGATCATTTTGGAGGTGCTTTACAGTGAAGTGGTCTGGTTCATTTTGGGTGTTTTTGGAATACAGAATTGCTAGTCTTGACACTGGAAAGAATAGGTGCTTTTATTTTATGTCTCCTTGAATATTGGTAGGCAGTTTTTCATGCCAAAATGCAGTAATTTATCAATATCTAAACAGTATAAATCATGCTAAATACCTTTAAATATGTTCACTTTCAGTAAATCTGTACTTTCTTTTGAGTTCTGGTAAGGAAATTATGGAGATATGGATGCCATCTCTGTGTCTGTATATATATGTTTGAAAGTATGTATTTCCATACCTATGTATATACAGAGGAAGAAATGATGCTTTAGTTTATTTTTTCCAAAATATATGCAATTATGATAACTCACAACCAATGTGTAATCCAAGTTTTATTTGTATTGTAAAGGTAAAAAAAGACGGGTGGTCAGATCTGTCCATTTACATTGCAGCAATTTCACACCTCTTAATAGATTTTAGGAGAAACAGAGATATTTTACAAAGATAAATGTTTAGCTTCAGAAATATTTTGGAAAAAATAATTAATTGGACAATATAAGCCCACATTTGCATTAGGAAAAATGTATATGCTATTGAAGGTTAATGAAATAAAGGTTTAGATTTATATTTTCCTGTGATAGTATTTTAATTTTTTTTCATAATTACCCTGTTCGTACAAAGGAGACAAGTGATCACCCTGCATTTGGAGATGCTCAGGAAGCAACTGAAATGTATTAAAGGAACCTCTTGCCCTCTGAATTATCAGAGCTGGTTCTTGGTGTAGATCTGAAGATTCCATAAAAGCGAAATGCTTTCCTTCTGGTAATTGTAAACATGGGTTTTAGAAAGGAGAAGTCACCCAACTTTAGAGATTGAGGAATTGTTATTATGACTTAATGTCACAGGCTTTCATACAAAGATTGAAATGGCTCTCCCTGTCCAGATGGCTGCCCTCATCTCATCTCATCTCATCCCTACATTCCAGTCCCTTGTGTGTGCAGGTGTCAGTTCAATTATATTTCCTGACACCTGATAGCTGTGTTTAGCTGTGGTTTCTAGATCACAGATATTTCAATGGATACAGTGAAAATTGTAGGGAAGTGATAGCAGCAATTTTATTTATACTCAAATTTTGCATTATAGATGTAAGGAAAACACTTTTGCTTTGAAACCTACTGTGCTATGAGAAACAGCAAAACAGAGAATAAGAAAGACAGAGTTTGTAGTGGTGAACATGTGGCATAGGTTCTTTCTATACCATAGAGAATGGACTCTGCCTCATGCAGCAGCAGCAGTTTGAGCAGTACTGTAAGAAAGCTCCATGCCGGAAAAAACAGTAACTACTGCACCGTAACTCAGATGTTTGGGGTTGTGCAATTTTAGCAATCTTGCAAGGTTCATAACTTTTCTTAATTCCAGACATGCTTAGAGAAGTAACTAAGGACTTTACAGAGCTAATTGTCCATCCTGAATCTGTCTTGAAAGAATCATAAAAGGATGCACCTGAGATTTGTTTAATTTGCCTAATTCTCTCCCCGTTTCATCGACTAGTGTGGTAGTTCATCTCATCCCTCTTCCTAGGTAGCCTCTAGTATGGGCATGGATCTCCCAGTATCACTTCTATCTTTGTGTTTTTGAGAATGCTAAAATTCACTTCAACATGTGGCTCTTATATATTTCATCTTGAGGATGTGACATGGCAGCATTCCAGCACTGGCTAAAAAGATAGCGTGAAAATGAAAACCAAGATATTACAGCAAAGCTCTGCATTCTTCTTTGGTGTAGGATTTCTTGACCCTGTGATATACCAGGGAAGATACCCTTCTTTGGATTCAGGCTGCCATTTCTGTGCAGCTGTGCTCTGACATGAATTTGTGGAAGGTTATATGAACTGTGGGTGAACTTTTGGTTACTTTGCTGCTGAAAATTTTTCTTCATCACAAAATCCTCAATTAAGTTTTGGTTCATAAATGCCGCATAGTAGCAATGAAGTGGTTACTGGACTCAGCTATATATGTTAATTACATATGAAGTTCAATAGTGTTACATTTTTAATGGGTTAGAACATTGTTACAGTAGAAAGGAAACAAGTACCTTACTTTCATTTATACTATGACGGTCTGAAGAGTTCGGAAGAAATTTTTCTCCCCTCATGTAATTATCTAGTTACATTAAAAGGGTGAAAGGGGATTTGATTTCCACTGAAATCTTAGGTGCTAGCCTCTATTGGAAATATGATGATGACTAGATTAGATGAAGTAGCAGTCTACGTTAGGATGGAGACACGATTATTCACGAATTTTAAGACCCAGAAGGGACCATTATGATAATTCAGCCTGACCTCCTGCATAACATAAGCCGTATAATTTCACACAGTAATTCTTGTGCTGAGCTCCTAACACATTCCTGTGCATTAGTAGAACAGGCCTGAAGCCTTACTTTAGCGCAGAGCAGAATGTGGAAGTCAATAAGAGAGAAGAATATTTTAGTCCTTTCTCTGTCCCACTGGAAACAATGATAATTTCACCTGAGTGCATAACAAAGGACAGTCAATAAAAGTTTTAAGAGCACAGGTCCATATTAATATCCTGAAATATGAATGCTGTAGAAGGTATACTACAAAGTTTAACATAGTAGTTCATGTTAAAATGCTAAAGAACATTATAGAATATTACAGCTTAGACTAACTGTAAATGACTCATCAACATTTCTGAATTTTTTTTTCTGTATCACCTTTAACATCAGGAGGAAAGCTAGAGCACAGTTGGTTTATATGGTGATGGAGAAGGCAGTGTGTTCCAAAATTCTTTAGTTTTGATGACTTCCTTTTAAATCTTTGTTAGTCTGGTTTTCAGTTACTGTGCAATTCAGCCTTCATTGCAATGTTAAAATATGAATTGTAAAAAGACCAGATTCTTTGTTTCAGGTGCAACAGATCATCTATATCAGCCATTCTGTTCGTAATCACTTCTCTCCTAAGTTCTGTATTCAAGTTGTTTAGAAAGAACTGGGGGAAGATGTGTGGGAGGGGAGATGTTTGTTTTTCTTGTCCTCTATCCTAGTTTTTTTTTGTTGTTGTTTTATTTTGGGTTTTGTTGTTGTTGTTTGGGGTTTTTTTTTTTGGTTTTTTTTTTTTGTTGTTCTTTTGCTTTTTTTTTCATTTTGGATTTTGTCCCCACTATGTATTGTTTTACCTGGAAAGTAAACACCAACTGATTGTTTTCACTTTTACTTGACAGACAGTTTCCTTTCTATTTCTCAATTGCTCCTGTTCTGTGTTTATGTGTTTTCAGATGTTTGAAGCATAAAGAAAACACATATTCCTCTTTTTACATGTACGTCTTTTTATTTAAACCGTATGGAAAATGCTACGGTGTGTTCACAGTGTGCCATTTTTTTAAAAATGCATACATACTTGTATTTAAATACCTTTTGATCAATATACTCAGATAAAGAGATCTCAAAAATACCCCGAATATATGACCTGAGATACTGATTTCAGAATAAAATACAAAAGATAAAATGGAGTATACAGTGTTTTTATTTATTTTTCCACTTTTTGAATAGCCCCTATAGAAACTACACCATCTAAATTAAAGTAGTAGGATTTAATCTGCTGTATCATTAGTTTTGAACATGTTCTTTTTTCAAACATTGTTGTTCTGCTGCTATGTAACTATTTGTCACATGTGCCAGGACAGCCTGTATCTAAACTTTACTCAAACATGAGCAGAATGAAAGAGAGATTTGGCAGATTGACACATAGTCCTGACACATTGTTTCAGCACCTATACTTCTCTAACATCAAAATTTGCAGGTGTGGATCAGCTCCACTGATGTGACCAGATTGTAAGCAAGTCTGCAGACATGACAGAGGAAAGTCATCGAGTTTGGAGGTAAGTTAAAGTTTTAGGCATGATGAACGTATATATTTTAGAAAATGGACTGCTCTTTTAAGCAGGTATTCTCAGCTTACAAGCTGAGTACCTCAGGCAGCTCACCAGGAGAATTCGTTCCAAAAGTTTATTTCCTGACAAATTTTGAAATCTGATATAGACCATACAGGAGATATCAGTGATGTTAACCTTCTCTCAGCTGCTGTCTTTCCTGGATCATTGCTCTACTCCTTTACATTGTTGAACAAGCACAGAGTAAATAAAATGCATATTAATTGTGCCATATATCATTAAATGAACCAAATTCTTCTATTAACTAGACTAAAATTGCACTGTCAAGCCTGTAGATCTGTGTAATATGAGCATAGGACTTGAGAATAAGTCCTAGAAGGATGAGTATGTTCCACTGAGGCCTATCATCATGTAATTACAAATTTAAGAATGGTTCTATTATTATTTTTATATTTTTTCGTTTTCCTTAATTCATATAACTGTAAGGATGAAAGAAATGCTAATTACAAAAGTAATTACTCTCATGACCTAACAACAAGGTACCTTATCTTCATGATAAAAAAGTTATTTCTTTCTGATTTTTCTGATTTTACTATTCCTGACAGAAGTAACCATAAAGAAAGGCAATCACTTAATTTTTTGATGTATTTTTTTATCTCCTCATCAATGGATGTTCTTATCTCTGCAAATGAACTCAATTTTGAGCTGAATAATTTCCAATTTTGTTCTCACTCTTATAATCTGTGCAGTGCTAGTTACCAAAAGGAAATATACCAGTGCGCTGAGACAATGAAACTGAGGTTAGCCTGTGTGAATATTGTAGATATTTCAAGATATTTCCTACAATTCAGTATAATTAGGCTCCTGCTGGCACATTGTCTGTCCTCAAGTGATTCTCTACTTTGAAATGAAACAGGCAAAACTGCCATGAACTAAAGGAGCATTGGGTTTCTTGAATGATGAGAAAGGAATCTTTATTTTTCTTATTTTTTTCAGATGCTCCTCTCTACCATCAGAAAAAGTCATCTCCTGTGTGCCTGCATTGTTCACGTATCAGAGATTTAGTCAGAAAACTCAGTGTAACAGATGGCTGGAGACCTTAGACTGCATGAGATGAGTTTTAAGAAAGGCCAGTCTGGGCCAGAACACCGAAAGATAAAAGTTATAAAGTGTAATAGTACTGGAAAACAAAGAAGAGGGATATAGTCTATAGAATATAAGTATAATCTGATGCAAATGCAACAATAAAAAATAAGAAAAGAGGATTAATGAAATTTTTTAGTACAAGAATAAGAGAAAATGAGGCGGAAAGGTAAACCTTCAAAGATTGGAAAAAAAAAATTTACTAAAAAGTGAAGGTTGAATTTATATTTGTTATCATTTACATTGATTTATTAATAAAAAATTTAAAAAGTGGAAAGAAAAGTATGTGAAAGGTGCACAAGGTTTTAAAATTACTTTTTTCAGCATTTGCTCAAAAGCAGTTTCCTCCTAGTTTAATTACACTTTGAAATCTCAAACTTTGTTAGTAATATAACATCCATATTTAGGCATCATGGTTCACTGTTAGGAAAAGGTGAATTTTAAATCATGTAGTATATATCCTAATTTGCTTAATGTGTTTTTATCTCTTATGATCATATCATCTCTGATTCAATTAGCTCAGTGGTGACTCCTCAGTTTTACTGCAATAGGATTTCTCTATCTGGCATATCTGATATGCAGAGGAGTTACCTCCTGTCATTTCATTCAGAGATAGATGGAAATGCTAATTTTCTAGGGAGGAAATCTTTGTCTGCAGATTTATTAGTAATATGACTCCAAATCATCTTACAGGTGTTTTTCAGTGGTGAGGTTAGACTCCATTTCAATCTGATAAGGCATTCCTAATAAGAGGAAATTAAGTCAGTACTTGCAGAAAGAATAAAGTGCCATATGTCCTGACTTTTCATAATGATCATTAAATCCCAGAAGGATATGTACACAGGACAGGCAGTTCTGAGAAAACAAAGAAAGTCTTCGTAAAGCAGTTACAGTTTTCTAACAGCTAATTAGGATCAAGATATTAAGTATGCTGGTTAATATGAGAAGAGAAAAAAATCGTGCCTGTAAGCAGAGGGTTCTACAAACTGATCCCTTCTCCAGTAGTGGGAAGTTTATTTTTATGCATGAGCGTAACCAAGTATGATACAAATTAGAACATTTTAAAATATAATCTGGAAAAAAAAGGGAATTTTTGTCCCATGCTATGTAATCACACTCCCCTCTACAAAATTTTTATAAAGATTTCCATCCACTTTAAAAAATTAGATTAAAATAGATTAAAGTTTTACAAGTCTTACAAACCTTATTTGTAAGCAGTGTGACATAAGCAGTTCAGGCACTGTAAGTCACCTATTACTTAAATGTGAAGAACGAAATATTCCAAGTATATCTAAGAATTTCATACTTATTTCATATTTATGAAATTATAAACCACAAAGGCATTGACATTGGTGTCAATGTGAGATTTCTACAAGGTTTTAATGTTACCTATATATGTGATCAGATTCTGTTGTCTTTTAGTGACATATCTATGAAATAGAGAATCACTTTTCTCAAGTGACTCTCCCTTACCGCAGCCAGTGTTCAGCCAGTGTGTTTTATATAATATTTGTATACATGTTACAGTTTAATATTAAAAGAACTATTAGAAATCTGTGCTTTGAAATGCAATTTAGTTTTGCTGTTTATATTGATAACTGAAAAATGGTACTGTATTTCAACCTAGTAACAATTTATAAAGGAGTAGAAAGAAAATGGAAATATACATTTTAGGGAAACTCAATTCCACTGCATACTCCAAAGCAGTACAAAATTGTGCATTGTGGAAAAATTTTTAGTACAGGTAAATATAAAAACCCTACAAACACTGGGAATATTTTTTTCACATTTCTGTGAAGCACAGACTGCAAATGTGGCATAAATATAACTTGAAAAGTGTAAAGGCAAACTTCAAAACTCAATGATTTTAGTTTTAAGCAAGAGTAAAATTTGCCAACACAAACATTAAAAAACCCCAAATATGCTATGAAAATATACAGGCAACTGTGTTAATCCATTTTGTGAGGCTAAAGGCTATTGTAGATGCTTAAACTCAGAGAAAGTTACTCAGAAGCATAGGAAAACACAGTAGTTCTCTGAAAGAAAAACGCCTTCCCTTCTTTTTGGAAGACCCGTTTTTCTCTTGGAAAATAAACCATGTATTTTAAAGAGGCATAATGGTGCTATTTATCTTTAATTTATTTTATTATGAAAACACTATTTGGAGAGAGATTTATTAACAAAAAAATCACATTTTCTTCCCCCTAATTAGCTCTAACAACAAATTAAAGTTTATAGTCTCCAGGAAAGTACAGTGTATATGTGAATCAGGATGATCAAGTGGTGCAATTATTTTTTCTATTTAGATCATTACTTATTTCTAGTTTAGATTCAAATTTTGAAAACTTTCTAGTTAGAATTGTATGTGACAGAAATAATTTTTTAGAGCTTTTATACTCTCATCACCATTGAATAATCAAGCAGTTTAATGAGGTCTTCAGCACTGGAATGTCTAATTTTAAATTTGAAGAGAAGAGAATTGTATTTACACTGGTCATGAGCCTCTGGAAGAGAATTTAGACCTTGATAATTTTTTAGTCAACAAAAAATGAAATAAATCAATTAAAAACTTTTGACTATGAAACTCTGGCTTTGGGTCATTCCCAGCACCATCTTGTGTGGACTCCAGAAATTGCATTATGAAGAGGCTTAAAAACAGACTGACATTTCATGTGTTCAATTAGATGTGCTTGTAGAGAAAAAAATTAAGTATTCCCAGTACTGTAGGAAAACTGTCAATTCTTGTTCACACTTCTCTCAAACTTTGAAATGATTGTCTCTTTCTAAATAATTTTTTTTTCTCCCCAAAAGGCAGAAGTACTGTAAAACATGGTTTATTCACCTACTGGAAAAGTGAAGCCTGATGATTGTAATGTGTAATTTAGCCAAAGAGATAAAAAGATGTATCAGGAGATTTACTGCTTTAAAAACAGCCACTGCACTGTGTGGGGGAAAATTTTATCGCTGCTAACATGCTCACAAAATTCCAAAAATTACTCAAGAGAACAGCAGTGGCTCCAAGGCCATCACAATGAACTCAGTGTATTGTTCTCTGTTCACTCACTGTGTCACATTTTTATCATAGAATCGTAGAATGTTTTTTTGAGAAGAGGTCTTAAGTGTTATCTAATTCCAACCCCACTGTCATGGGCAGTGTCACTTACTTCCAGACCAGGCTGATCAAAGCCACATCCCATTTGTCCCTGATGAATAGCAACAGGACCCAAGGAAATGGCCCAAAGCTTTGTCAGAGGAGCTTTAAGTTGAATTTTTGGAAAAGGTTTTTCACCTGGAGGCTGGTTGGGCACTGGAACAGGCTCCCCAGGGAAGTGGTCACAGCACCAAGCCTGACACAAGAAGCATTTGGACAATGCTCTCAGGCACATGGTGTGATTCTTGTCATTGTCCTTTGCAAGACCAGTGATCCTCATGGGTCCCCTCCAACTCAGAATATTCTATGATTCAACCTGGCCTTGAACACTTCAGTAGACTGGGAATCCGCAGCCTCTCTGGGCAAACTGTTCCTCCTTCACAGTAAAGAATTTCTTCCTTATATCTAATCTAACCCTACCATCTTCCAATTTGAAGCCACTACCTCTTGCTCTATCACTAGATTCCCTTGTAAATAGACCCTCTCCAAATTTTCCTGGAGGGTCCTTTTGGCTACTGTAAAGAGTCTCTGGAACCTTCTCTTCCCCAGGCTGAACAACTGTAACTTTCTCAGCTGGTTTTCATAGGAAAGGTTCTTCAGCCTTCTGACCATTTTCATGGTCTCCTTTAGACCTGCTTTAGCAAGTCTGGGTCCCCAGAGTGGGATGCAGTGCTCCAAGAGGGGTCTCACAAGGGCAGAGTAGAGGGGCTGAATCACCTCCCTTGGCCTGCTGGCCACGCTGCTTTTGATGCAGACCAGGACACAGATGGCTTTCTGTGCTGCAAATGCACATTACTGGGTCATATTGATCTTCTTGTCCACAAACACTCCCAAGTTCTCCTTTGGTTTGCTCTCAGTCCACTCTCTGACCAGCCTGTACTTGTGCTTGGGAGTGCCACAACCCAGGTGCAAGATCTTTCACTTGGTGTTGTTGGACTTCATGATGTTTGGATGGTCCCACCTCTCCAGCTTGTCAAGGTCCCTCTGGATAGCATCTCCTCCCTCCAGTGTGTCAACCTCACCACACAGCTTGGTGCTGTCTGCAAAGATATAAACCAGCACTGATCCCAGTACTGACCCCTGAGGAATGGCATTTGTCACTGGCCTCCAGTTGGACATCAGGTTATTGACCACATCTCTTAGAATGCAACCATCAAGTCAATTTCGTATCCACCATTAGGTCCATCCATCAAATCTGTTCCCTCTAGTTTAGAAAAAGGGATATTTTGTGGGACAGTCTAAAACGCACAGGCCCAGGTAGATAACTTTTTTTCCCATAGTGAAACCACTATGACTGTCACCAAGCACCTCCTTGTTTCACACGTGCCTTAGCATAGTTTCCAAGAGGATTTGCTCCATGATCTTGCTGGGATCTGGGGTGAAACTGACCAACCTGTAGTTCCCTATATCTCCATTTTTTCCCCTTTTTGGAAGGATGAACTTTCTCTGACTCGGAGCAATTTTTGTGCTTTGGAACATACTGATGTGAGCAACAGCCTCTGACATGGATTTGAACCTAAACTACATGTTGCATCTTTATTGTATTGCCATGATTCATTTAAAAACAAATGCTTTTGAGCATGGCTGGCTGGCTTTCATGATAGGGTGGGCAGCCAGATAACGGAAACACTTCAGTACTGTTTTTTATGACTTATATCTGGAAGTAAAAATGGCTAAACACATTAATCTCTCTGCTATATATTTAGAGTTTTGACTGCTTTAGCTAGGAGTGCTGGATTCATGATCCATTTACTATTTCCTGTCCAGCAGCTAGCTGGTCCATTATGCTTCATGTCTCATTTCATTAGCTTAGCCCTCTATGATGTCAATTGAGAAAATCAGTAGCTGTACATTATAAAATCCTTGTAATGGTATGACAATGACAGTATTATAGTGGTTATTTTCTTGGTTCTAATGTACATTTTACCATTACATTTCATGCCTTCAGCTCAGATACATGATAGAAAAAGATTCAGCTATAGCCCAGCAGGAGTTGTAAAATTTTCCTTGAAACGTTACATAAGGGAGCACTTGATAGATGGAAAATACTGACATTGCTTTCAGTTCACCAAATGTAGAATAGTAATCTTGGTAGCCAGCCTGACAACATCATAGATACTTACTCCCTTCTGGGAGAAGAATAAAAAAAATAAAAAAGGAAAACTAAAATACCTCATAAAGCAGAAATTACATATTATCAGAAAATGTTGTTATTTAGCCTTAATGTCATAATGAAAGAATCTTTTTATCTTATTTTTGGTCTTATGAGTGACATGGTTGCACTTTGATTTGGAATGGAGTTACTGTAATGTGATTCATAAGACTGGAGAAGGTAGTGTCTCTTTTGCAAGAATTGGGTGCTCCTTCAGAGTTGGATTGTACTTAGATTGCATACTTACCAAAAGCAGAATTACAGCAACTGTGAAACTTATATTATTTCATACCCAAATTTATGTTAAAGAGATAAAAGATGGAATTTTTTGTAGAAAGCAATTATTCATTGACTTAAGAGCTACTTTCAATAATCACAGCAAAAGATTTACACAAATCAGAAAGAGTAGAGAGAATAATTGGGACCAAATCTTCAAGTCTATGAGTGCCCTGCCCGAAGAGTACCCCATTTCTGTGCAGACTTCTTCGTTTGTTGATACTGTATGAGTGAAAAGATTCAGTCATAAGCTGCCAGGCAGCTTATTACTCTGGCTTTGGAGAAATACATGAAAGTATCATGAGACACTGCAACCACAAGTGCTTTTTCTACTGACCAAATGCAAACTACTGTGATATTTATTAGGGATGGAGCATAGAATAATCTGGTTAGGTTTAAAAAAAGGTTCAATTCTGAAAGGCCAACTTTGATTCACTGTAGTTTTTGTTACTCCTTTATCTAGCAAACTGACATTTTCTAGATTCATGTGCAGAAAGTAACAATTTTTCTCCAAAAAAGGCAGGTAGGGCATATGTCATTGTAAATATTTCTCAGTGTATGAAAAGAAGCCAAACATTTATTAGAGAAATTTGCTGTGATAGCAAGTGTGTGACTAGGAGAAGGAGACACTCTGAAAGCAGCTGTCTGAAGAAAAGAAAGGCAAAAGTGGATGGTTTACTGGACTGCACACCATGCTGCATGTAAACTCATACTATCCTATATTAAACAGGATAAATGTATACTACCCTTTATTTTTATAAAATGTCGTGATAAGGTAATATTTTCACAAACATTATAACAAAACATATTTAATTTAGTGTATTATCAGTGATAGAAAATCACTGTAATTCTAAGGAGTTTACCCCCTGAAAACTGATCAAGAAATCCTTTCAATACTTCACATTTTTCAGTGCTTTCTATTTAAAAAAAAGAAATGTGGTTTCTCCTGTCCCCAAACAGAATAGATGCACACAATTGTTAATTTTTTTGGTTTTTTTTCCTTCCACAAAGAACTCTTTATTGATAGCTCAATACAGATTTACATTATTACAGAAAAACAAACCTTTTTCTCCAGTCTTCTCACTGCATAGGATGGTATTTTTCAGTTTCACTGGATGTTGATCAACCCTGTCCATAGTAAATCCATGATTCTTTACCAAAATAAGACTGTCTTTTTTATGTCTTGACTGGAGCTCATGAGAATCACAGAGGCAGCTGAAATTGTTCTGTACCATTGTATAGATTACTAACCTCTGAAGCTGTTAAAAGAAACCAGAGGAGAACTATGCCTTTGGTAGGCTCTTTAGCTATTTTCTTATGGCACTACCAGTAGTCCAGAAGCAGAATACTATAAAAGGTAAACTCCTAATATCAGAAAAGATCCCAGAGGTCCCCTGGGAAGATATAAAGTACATACAAGAATTGAAAGGTACTGGAGTATAGTCCTGAAGATTCTGAAAACTGTGAAATTGCTGTTACTATAGGATCCTAAAGAATATTTAAATCCAAAAGAGAATATGTGTTTACACTGCAGAATATATTCTCATCAAATTATTTGTTATAAAGAGGTTATGCATTTCTCTGTTCCCGCTTTTCCCTATGTACGTAGTAAGAAAGCATTCTTAACTGTAAAGTATTTTGTAAAAGTAGTGGACAAATGAAGATTTAAGAACAGTTAGTTTCCCAGTTGCCATGGTTACCAAGAGTAATTGACACTGATTGCTGAATACAGTAAAATAGAAACAGAATGTACTATTTTAAAGAAGGTACATATAGAAAATGTAGAAGTAAATTAACACTCAAGAAAAGAACAATACCACAATTTATTTTAGACTGAGATCCCTATTGGATACAGTTTTACGCACAAACTGTGTTTTATATGTGGCAGGGTGATAAAAAAACCCCGAACACCCTCCATCATTTGGAAGCAGTTTTAAATAATGTATCTCTTCAGTCCTGTAGATGGAAGTGCATGTATGTGTGTGAATGTGCAGACGTGAATATCTGTTGTAGGGCAGCAGACAAACAGTATCCTTTTTTCAAGA